TGGGATCTGGGCAGGAGACCTGGTGAGAGACATGGTCTCCTTGGGATGAAGAAGGGAACAGCCATTGTGTTCCCTAGAATCTCCCCCAGAAACTCAGAAAGGTGAGAGGCTGATGACCTGCCACCGTCTAGGCCCTGGATACCCAGGCTGGGACATTCACATTAATGCTCAGTCACCTCTTTTCGAAGCCTAATCAAGGAGCCTGGGTGTCATTTCTTTAGCCTCTAAGACTTCTGACCTGGAGCCACTCCCCATCTCCTTCCAAGTTGCTTTCCTCTTACATCCCACATCTCTTTAAGATGAAAAATAAAGCCTAATGACTTGGCCTCATCTCTTCTCCTAGTGTTCCCAGGATCATCCCCTTCCTGCAAATCTGACCTTTGCCTCCTTCCTCCCTGCAGGGTGGCATGCCTGCTGGAAATGCTTTTCAGACTCTTCTGGGAATGTATACATGAATGACCTGCACAGGCAGCGACGGGGGGAAAATGCTGCCAGAGCTGCTGGGCCCAGGAAGCTGGGCTCAATTCGGGAACCTGGGAAGCATCACTGCCACCCTGGAGCACTCTGCCAGCAGTTCTCTGGTATGCAAGCATTGCAGTATTGCTTTCCAGAGGCTTGGAATCAAGGAGGTCTCAGAGCAGTCAGGGGCTTGTGATGGGAGGCCGGCCCGACCTTCACAGGGAGACTTACATTTTTCAGGGCTAGTTCCACATGTGACATGAGTTAAGCTACTGAGATTTTTTAATATATTCTACACCCCATACAGAAGTCAACTTACATGGACAATAAAATCCTTCCCAGTCCTGCCTTCAATAGTCATAACCAGAGGTAGCTGCTTCTAGGGAGGTCACAGATGGGATAATAACAGCTGAAAGGGATCAGGGCCAGGCATATCCTCCTAGTGCTGGCCACTTTAGCAGAGAGCAGGAGGAAGCCCTGCACCAGACAACAGTTGCTGAGAGGGGGAGTGGGATCAGGGTAGACTCATTCATAAAACCTGCAACTGGGCAGCTTTCAACTGAGCAGGTGGATACTAACACTCACTGGGCAAACCCACTAATTTATTAGGAGGCCGAAGACTTCTGACCAGCCTAACAGGAGTCACTAAGTCTAAGCACAAAAGCCCATGAGGCCGGGTGTGGTGGCTCATGCCTGTAATCCCAGCAATTTGGGAGGCCAAAGCGAGTGGATCACTGGAGGCCAGGGGTTCAAGACCAGCCTGGCCAACAAAGTGAAACCCCACCTCTACTAAAAATACAAAAAAATTAGCCAGGCGGGGGGCACATGCCAGTGGTCCCAGCTACATGGGAGGCTAAGGCATCAGGATCACTGGAACCTGGGAGGTGAGACTGCAGTGAGCCGAGATCACGCCACTGCACTCCAGCCTGGGTGACAGAGCAAGACTCCATCTCAAAAAACAAAAACAAACAAACAAAACAAAAGCCCAGGAACTCCTCTCCTGGGAGGTCCTCCCTCTCAGACCCTGGCCATACATGGGTTAGGCAAGTCTTAGAACGCTTGCGTCTTCTCCAATCTCATAAATTCTTAGCAATCCATAGACAGGCACCCTGAGAACAATGAGACAGCTTGGAAGTGAAGGGGGAGACAGAAACGGGACAGAACTAACAAGCACAGAGGCCCAAGCAAGTCATGGGAGCACCAGCGTGACAACTGATGTTACGGATGGTGCACCTGAGCTCACAAGAAGCTGGCACATAACTGGCTGACCATGAGCCCTGTTGGAAAAAACATGGACATCTCAAGAGCATCACCTGCCACACCCCTGCCACCGACTCCTAGGCTTCTACAAACAGGAAGAAGCAGGCAATTTCCCCAGCAATTAAAGACACGCCAGTTACAATAATAAAGTATCGATTTATAGCTATAAAGATCAATAAATAATGAAGCACGTTTCAAAACAAATGACCCAGGGCTGGCAGGGCCGCAGGCACACAGCAACACTCCTACGCTGTGGTGGTAATGGTTAACCAGGACCATCTTTGAAAAGCGAGGATATTGAGTCCCAAAAATGTCAGCCTTTGGCCTAGTCATCCCATTCCTGGTGTTTAGCTAAATCCTGGGGACTCTGCTGAAAGGATTAATTAAAAAGAAAAGGGGAAGATCTTGAGAAAAAAGTTGTTTTATCAGTAAAATTTGTAATGGTTAAAAGCTAGGAAATAAAAACCATGTGTCCAACAATAAGGATACTATGGTTTGACTATTTGTGCCCTACAAACTCGCACTGAAATTTAATCCCCAATGTGGCTGTATTAGGCAGTGGGAACTTTGAGACATGATTGGGTCAGGGTGTGGTGGCTCACGCCTGTAATCCCAGCACTTTGGGAGGCCAAGGCGGGCAGATCATCTAAGGTCAGGAGTTCAAGACCAGCTAGGGCAACACGGCAAAATCCCGTCTCCACTAAAAATACAAAAATTGAGCTGGGTGTGGTGGTGGGTGCCTGTAATCCCAGCTACTTGGGAGGCTGAGGCAGGAGAATAGCTTGAACCCAGGAGGCAAAGGCTGTAGTGAGCCAGGATCGTGCCATTGCACTCTAGCCTGGAAGACAGAGCGAGACTCTATCTCAAAGAAAGAGAAACGACTGGGTTATGAGGACTCTGTCCTTATGAATGGATTAATCCATTCATGCATTAGTGGATTAATAGGTTAATGGATTAATGAGTTATCATGGATGGAACTGGTAGCTATATAAGAAGAAGAAGAGAGAACTGAGATATCCCGCTCTGCCCCTCACCATGTGATGCACTGGGCTGCCTTGGGGGACTCTGTAGAGAGTCCCCATTAGCAAGAAGGTCCTAATCAAATGTGTCCCCTCAATCTCAGACTCCTCAGCCTCCATAACTATAAGAAATAAATACCTTTTCCTTATAAATTAACCAGTTTCAGATATTCTATTACAAGCCACAGAAAATGGACTAAGACAAGGGAAATACTGGTGTGCAATTCAGTGAAACGTTGTCAGTTAAAAGAGAAAAGCCAATTTTTAGAATTATGTTAACTGAGGGAAAAAGTAGAGCAGGAAATTATACAAGTACAATGATTGTATACAAATAGATAAAGATTGAGAGGAACCACAGAAAAACATAAATAGCTGCGTTTGGGTTGTAGGATTATAAATGTAATTTCTTTTCCATTCCGGCTTAGTTTTTTTTTCCCCCCCAAAATAGATTTTTAAGAAGTGGGTAGGCCTTTCCAGCAAGGTGCACTTGTCACTCTCTGCTGGGAATCAGGATGCCGACTGCTGACCCTCAGCTTCTCTCTGGGTCAGGCAGGACAGGCATCCAGTAATCCAACCAGCTGGGAGGTCCATGGGAGAAACATGGAGGACACTGGGAGCTAGTGAAGGGAAAAGCACAGGCAATTCTATACATTTAAACACTGAGGTGGATAATTTAAGAATCAAATGCGAGAGTATGCAAATGCCCATCTGCTACTTAAATCTATATCCTGCCCATACCAGAGCATAGTTCTCAAATTAGAATGATCTCAAATGTCAGGTGGTCCACCCAGTCTGTAGGCAGGTTAAGGATGGCTGCCTGCTTTACAGATGAGATCTAAAGCTCAGGGAATTGAGGTGACTTGCCCAAGGGCACAAAATCAGGGATCCCTGAGAGATTCTATCACTCCCACTACCAGGAAGGTGCATACATGCTTATGAGCCTCAGAACATTCTTTTTTTTTCCCCCCGAGACGGAGTCTTGCTCTGTCACCCAGGCTGTAGTGCAGTGATGCAATCTTGGCTCACTGCAACCTCCGCCTCCCAGGTTCAAGCAATTCTCCTGCCTCAGCCTCCCAAGTAGCTGAGATTACAGACACCTGCCACCACGCCTGGCTAATTTTTGTATTTTCAGTAGAGACGGGGTTTCACCCTGTTAGCCAGGCTGGTCTCAAACTCTGACCTCATGATCTGCCTGCCTTGGCCTCCCAAAGTGCTAGGATTACAGGTGTGAGCTACGGCACCAGGCCAGAACATTCTTTACATAGGCCTTGCTGCTTGTCTGGACACAGCCACTGTAACTTGTGCCACAACCCAACTCAAACTCCATTGTGTGTCAGAGCCCCACCTGCCCAGGAGGATACAGGGTGGCCAGCTAACCCCTAGAGTCTTGGGCTCATCTATCCAAATTCCATCATACACTGCTAAGCCAGCATAAGGCCAACCCGCCTCACACTCATAGCTGTCTGAACAAGCCGTGTGGACTCAAGTCCTGGTTCTGCCACTTCCTGGCTATAGGATCTTGTAAGTGACCTGGCCTGCCAGTGTTCTTGTCTGTAAAATGGGGATAATAAGAGTGTCTGTGTGACAGCGTCGTTATGAGGATTAAACAAGGTACAGAAGTACTTGGCTTGCACAATGAATATAAAATAACCTGTCTGCATTAGTAAGACATTTCCCTCATCATAGTCTTTAAAGATTGAACAAGACGACAGATACAAAGCACCTAGCAAATTCTTGGCTTACAGTAGGACTCTCTAAATAATAGCTGTTATTATAACAATAAAGGTGTCAATCACAGCACAAATGCAGTGGACTTTCCCCCGGAAAGGGCTGGAGAAGGGCTTCACAGAGCCTGGAGATGTTTGTACTTCCCCTCTTCATAGTACACATCCCTCCCTGACAGCCTCCCCTGGCCCCAACCCATCCTCCACCCCCCTCACCCTCCCACATGCTTCTCCAGCCGGGAAAAGACCCCAGTGCAGTCATTTCTTTCCTTTGATCTCCAGGATCCAGTGAAAGCCAGACTTAGGCCATCGCCCTCTGCCCCTGCTACTCAGCAAACCTGCCCCTCCTTTGGCTCAGTTTCAGGAGGAGGATGGGGGTAACTGAGGCAGAGGAGATCTGCCCACCACTGACTTCATCTCCTCTGGGCTGAGCTTAGGCCTGGTTGCTGCTGCCCCCTGGGGCCTGTGACTGTAGCTTCCACCGCCCTGCCTGCCCCTGCTGCCCCCTAACCCTGTGGGTCCTGGGGACCCCACTCACAGCTCAAGGATGAGCACCACGTCGGTGCGGTTCTCGTAGACGTCGTGCAGGGTGATGACGTTGTGGTGCAGCACCTGCCGCAGGATGCTCACCTCCCGCTCTATCTCCTCCCGGCTTACACCGCGCCGGCTCGCCGGGCTCTGCCGCTTCTTGATGAACTTGGCTGCATACTCAAGCCCCGTGCTCTTCTCCCGGCACTTCTTCACGATGGCAAACTGGCCACTGTGGGGACACAGACCCACAAGATGAGGTCGTCACTGTGGTCACTGGGGAAGTGACCCCACTGTTAGCTACCAGGTCACACAAATTCAGAGTGATTCTGCCAGGACAGGACAAATCACGCCACCAGTCTGCATCCCCACCTGGATGACAACCTGTGGCTGAGATGCGGCAGGGACTGGGCTTCCCTTCTGTCCATTCCTTCTATGAGGAATGAATGTTAGTATTGTCAGTCCCAGTGTACAGAGGTGAACAGTGAGGCCCAGAAAGGTTATTGATCAGGTGACACAGTCTTGTCATTGCAAAGTCTCAGCTAGAACCCAAGTCTAGGATCCACCAGATGAAATCACAATGTCCATAAGCAGACTGGGCTGGTGGGGATCCAGGTTTGGGTGGAGTTTGGAGAGGAGAGGAGGCAACCTAACAAGGTTAATCACTATAGTGGGGGAGCATCACAGTCAGAGGACTTGGTATAAACAGAGAGTTGTACAATCAGGAAACTGAGGCATAAGGATAGGTCATGTGACTCACCTGAGGTCATCGCAGAGTTAATGGCAAAGCCAAGCCTCAAAGTCAGATACCCAATCAGCTGTCCACAAAGCCTCTGAGATAGTTTAGAGCAGTCTAGACCACTATTAGTCCCCTTCAGGCACCAGCACCCAGGGCTGGGCTCAGAAACCCCTCACTCCAGGGACAGAGACAGCAACCATGAAATGGAGTCCAGGCAGAGCAGCAGGCAGCCCTGAGCCAGCTTCCCGGAGTGCTCCAGGGGTCCTCCCCACAGGGAAGGGCACCAACCACCTGCTTCTGCACCTCAGTTCAGTGACCAGCAGGAGCTGATCTAAGTCCCCAGAGACTTTCCAGTGGCCATCTTGCCCAGGGGTCCTCCCATCCCCTTACTGCCATTTGTCATCATTGTCCCACGTTTTCTTGCCACTCAAAATACCCACTGCTTAGGTAACTGAGAAAGTTTTCTAGTTCAGCTTAATGGCTTAATAAGAGGCCAGCAGACTCCAGACTTACGAGGTACGCTCTTAGTGGCTCTGGGGTAAAAGCTACATACAAGGAAATGCTTGGGATATTTGCCCCAACCGGCAGAAAATAGCAAAATAGCACTGCATCTGGACCACTCCATCATTAGCATCATCCTCAGTGAGACAGTCTTCAAAATACCCAGAGTGGCAACAACAACAACGAAGTCAAGTTGAGCAAGCAACAGATAGATAGACTAACACTTACATAGCATTCTATGGCAGCCACTTCAGAGACGTTCCCAAACACAATCTCATGCATCTCTCCATCCCCTCAACCTCCATTCACTCAACACTGTCTGGGCATCCACTCTGTGCCAGGATCTGTGCTGGGCACTACTGGGCAGGGACCAAAGGCACAGACAATAGGTACAGATGGACCTCTGGGGAGAGAGAAGACCCTGGGGGCGGGACTGGGCAGAGAATGCTTTGTGGAGCCAAATTTATCTTACATCGTCCACTGACTCTAAAGTTTCAGCTATTTCAGTTCCAAATATTGGCTCTGAAATGTCCACACACTAGGGGCTGACGCAGATGGAGTGGAGCCAGGCCTCCCAGAGCCAGAGTGAACACATTCAGTGTGATCTCTAACACATATGGTCTCTTGGAGCCACTCTGGACCTTGAGGACAGCGGGTGCCTTGGTAGGTGCCAACAAACACTTGACCGAACTTCCAGGCCCAGGTGGCTCTGAGTCTCAGTGTCAAGACAGCCACATGCCTCTCCTCTCCCTCTGACACCTCAAGTGGCCGCTGACAGGGCCTGGCATTTCAGAGTCCCTGTGACCTTGTCACAGAATTCCTGAGCTCTTACTTGACTGGTGGGGAAAGCAAAGCTTAAGGGTGGTAAGGGATACACTTAGGTTTACAGAGCACACAGGTGGTGGTGCAGGGCTTGGCTTGGCATCCAAATCCCCCAGCTCCCAGCCCCACACTGTGTTGACAGCCTTAGGACTTGTGAAGGGGCAGAAAAGCTTTTGCAAACTAGAGCCAAACATTTCAGGCCACCTTGACATTGTTTCCCCTTTGTCTTATGAGGGAAACAGAGGCATTTTTTTCCATATCACATGCCTGAAAAATTCCCCAAACTCTCAAAAAGCAAATGAGTGTTTGCTTTCCTGCCTGAGTTTTCTCTCTGCAAGACAGCTGTGGCAACGAGTGGTGACCGCAGCAGGCCCACTGCACAGGCATCTTCCCCTCCCCAAATGGAGGTATTTTAAGAGTGGGTGACTAAGATGGCGCCGAATACCACACACCACCACTCATCTCACCTGTCTTCACTCAGGCACAGCCTTCTGCTCAACCTGTGGAGGGGAGCCTCAGAGGGAGCCAAGGCCGCTGGCTGGTGTCCCCCACTCCTTGGGCTGTTTCCAGAAGAGCGGAGAACACCCTCCACCAGCCCCAGCCCCCAGGCTTCAAGGTCAGACAGGCCTGGCCTCAGGGACTTATGCTTTCACCTGCTCTAAACATAGATTTGCTCATCTGTCAAACAGGAATCAGGATTCCCTGCTAGAAAGTTGTGAAGACTGGAAATATTTGTAATGTTGGCCCATGGTACTCACAAGTGGTTCATACAAACGCTGAGCAAGAGACACCCAGAGATGTAAGTCACTGATTCAAATGGTCTGGAATGTGAAACCAGGGAATTGGTTTAATTTTATTTATTTTTAGAGATGGGGTCTGGCTCTGCTGCCCAGGCTGGAGTGCAGTGGTGTGATCATAACTCACTGCAGCCTCAAATTCCTGAGCTCAAGCAATCCCCCCAACCTCTGCCTCCCTAGTAGTTGGGACCACAGGTGCATGCCACACCACCCAGCTTCAGTTTAATTTTAAAAGCACCACCCTATCCCTCCCCCACTCCCCACCCCCAATGATTCCCATGCACAGCCAGATGTGAAAATATCTCTATTCCAAGCAATTAGCCAACTCCTTTAATCCTAGAGCAGTAGTTCTCAACCCAGGCCACACATTGATATTGCCTGGCGAATTTTAATATTCCTAGTGTTTAAGTCTCACCCTGAGAGATTCTGACCTGGCTTTGGGCCTGAAGGTGTGGGTTATTTAAAAGCCCGCTGGGTAACTGACATGCAGCCAGGGCTGAGAACCATTGACTTACGACAGCTTTCTGATTATCTCCATTTCACAAATGAAGAAACTACACCACTGTTACTCATACTAGTTCCTCCTTTTCAGTATTACACTTCCCCGTAGTTCTCTGATCTGATCACCTCAGGAAAGGAGTAAAGAAAGGGAATCAGAGGGGAGGGGTTGTCTCCCATCAGCATGATTTTTCCTTGAGGGCTTCACCAGTCTAACCGCTGTGTTATGAATCTGCAAATCAAGACAGAAGATTACGCTAGCTTTTGGAGGATAACAGGAGTGAAAATTTGTAGTCAGGCACTCCCTGCCCACCGTACTCAGCAGTCGCACAAAAGCAGAACCTGAGGTGGCTCTAGTATGCCCATCAGAGGGCCCAGCCAACCCAAGGGCAGGTGAAGACTGTGACAGCAACGGGCCCTTGTCTGCATACAGAAGGCTCTGCAGCCAGAAGCTGAGGCCCCACAGTGCAGAAGTCACCAGCTAGGCTACAGGGATGATGGGTGGGAGGCAAGGGCCTGTCCACTTTAGGACAGAGCCACCCAGAATGTCATCCAGGAAGGGAACAGAGGGGAGCAATTCAACCTCTAATGAAGGTCGTTGCTAACACTAAATCAAAAACGATGGGAATACTGGGATCTGGTATACACATGCAAAGCACACATATTCTAGTATCTCTGCCCCACCGTAGCAACAATCAATACCTATGCATGGTCTACTGCAGCACGGGGCTGGTAGGAGGCCTGATTCCTGGTCCTAACCTGCTATCAAAGTTTCATGGGCTTGACAAGGAGCTGCCTTTTCAGTTCATGTTTCTCCACCTGCCACCTCAGGTCTCACCTTAGAAAGCTTCCTGTCAGAAAGCTCCAAAGAGCCTGGGACAACTCTAAACAGGAATGAAGCCCTTTCCCTTCACTCTCCAAATTCCTCTGGGCTGGTGTCACGAGACTGGGAGTCTAGTCAGAGCCCTACCACTAACGAGCCAGGACCCTGGGCAGCCTGTTCAACTCCCCGGGCCTCAGTCTCCTTCTTCGTCAAGTGGGGACAATAACACCTGCCCTGCCCACTTCCCAGGGTTGTTTGGGAAATCATGGGGTGATGTCTGAGATAGGACTTTACCATCCAACCTTGCAGAAGAGTATGAGGCGTGGGTAGGTGGGAACTCTGTGCCTGAGGCTGGCTTGCAAAAGTCACGTAGGATGGTTTCGTGAGGGACAGTAAATCCGCAAGATACAGAAAACATCCCGCTTCTGCCAGCACTCTCCTGCAATTCTGTCAGGAACACACTCCTCTTCTCAGGCAGAGGACTCAGCTCCGCACTCACTCAGCACCCGGGAGGACGAGTGGGCTGTGTCAACATCAATGTCACCGGCAGATGGGCCTCATTTCCAAACTTGTCAGGCCCCCAGGTGGCACCTCATAAGGGCTCTCTAGTTGTCTGCCCAGGACTCAAATGAAAACGGGTACAGCTAGAACAGCTTCTCAGTGCTCAGAAATGTCCCCAACCTTAGTTCTTAAGGTTCATGGAGGAGCCTGGCCTAATCCCCACCCCCCAAATTCTTCACTGTCAAGGGTGAATAACCAGGGCATGACCCAAATATCACACCATGGGATAGATCTTGTAAAGCAATGTAAACATTACAACATTTATATCCAGCTTTTCCAAGACGGAGTCTCCTCTGTTGCCCAGGATGGAGTGCAGTGGCACAATCTCAGCTCACTGCAAGCTCCACCTCCTGGGTTTAAGTGATTCTCCTGCCTCAGTCTCATGAGTAGCTTGAATTACAGGCACCCGCCATCATGGCTGGCTAATTTTTTTTTTTTTTTTTTTTAGATGGAGTCTCGCTCTGTCACCCAGTCTGGAGTGCAGTGGCCGG